CCAGGTGAGCGATACCTTCCTTGTCAGGCCTCACAGCACAGACTGTACCCTTCCCATGGCTCCCACCTGGCTCCTCTGTCAGGGAATGGAACTCAGACACCTGCCTCCAATCTGTCCTGCCACTGGGGCAGACTCATCTTCCCCAGCTCGACGGGGTCACCCTCCCCGCGCAGGCAGCTCCTTCAAGTCCTCCCTGTCCGCATTGTTGCAAATAGGAATTCCTTGAGTTGGCTTTCAAACACCCCATTATTGAACCTCATCAGCCTTTCCAACCAGCTTTCCTCTCCGCTGCTCCCAACCCCACCTCTGTGCCTTGGCACAGGCTGTTCTTTCCACTGGAATCCCTCACGTCCGCAAGTCCCACTGCTGTGTGAGTCCCCCTGTCCCGGGAAGACTTCCTGGCTGATCTTGCCCACACTGCTCTCGTCTCAACATTTGCCTTCTCCAGTTTAGCACCTGATCCTAAGGGTTCCCGATAACTGCATCTGGTTCCCAGAGTAATTGTGTTGTCCCCAAATTAAACACTTGAGGGGCAGACATAGTCTCACTCAGGGCTGGCCACAAGGTGAATACATCCTCGAGATTTGCTGATTTGTAGGTGATGGACCTCCCTACTCCTGAGCCCCTGGAGAGTCCGGGGTCCTGTGCAGACATGTGAATCAGCCATTACAGGCTGGGAGCTGCCCCTGCCCAGGATCTCAGAGATGGTGTTCCCACTCTCTGGGAGATCAGCAAAAGGCCAGGAATGTGGATCTTCCCTTTCCCCATCTGGCTGGCCAGAGATACTCTCTCTTGGAGACTTACGTCCTGGTTGGTCATGTCCCAGTAGGGCCGCTCCCCGTACGACATCACCTCCCACATGACGATGCCATAGCTCCACACGTCGCTGGCTGAGGTGAACTTCCGGTACTGGATGGCTTCTGGGGCTGTCCAGCGGATGGGGATCTTCCCACCCTGTGGAGCAGAACAAGGAGGGTGGATGGGTGGGAAGCTGACCGGTCTGGCCTCTGCTCTCAACATGGCCTGTGCCGTACCAGTCATAGGAAGCATCTTCCTGTTCCCAAACTCACCATACGGCTTCAGATCTCGGGGCATTTGCACATGCTATTCCTCTGCAGGCAGTAGCTTTCCCCCCTCTCCCCTCTGGAAACCTCCTTCTCGTCCTTTAAGTCCCTCTGAAAGTCTTTCCTTAAGTCCCAATTGTTGCTCACTCTGTTGAATCCCACAACTGTGCCTGTATCTCTCCATCAAGGAGGCACTGCCCATACAGAGCAGTACTCCGATCGTTTGCTACTTGCCTGGCTCCGACTGTACTGTCTCCGAGCTCTCCGAGGGCAGGGACTGTGTCCTGTTCCTTTCTGTTAAAACCCTTCACCAACCCAAACTGCGTCCAGGAGAGAGTCGTGAGCATGGGCATTCAGGATCTCCAAGACCTGGCCCTGCCTAACTTCCCAAACTCTTGCTCACCACTTGAACCTCGCAGCCTGCATTCTAGTATCATCTTACCATGAGAACATGGCATCTGACTCACTTTTACTGGCCCTTCAGCCTCCAGCTCCAATAGCACCCCCTCTAGCCAGCCTTCCTCTGCCTCCCCAAGCTGGTGTCCTGGCTCACAGCCCCGTCACTCCATGTTGCTCTGTACATATGTGTCCCTCACCAGCCGGTGAGCTTCAGGAGGGCAGGAACCATGTTTATGTCTCTGCATCTCCAGGGCCCAGCACAGTGCTTGGCATGAGCAGGTGAAAACGTACTGCAGGGAGAGCTGGATGTGTATGCCCTCTTTCCTGGCACCCTGACCCCATTGTTCCCTGCGCATCTTACCAGGGCGCTGGTGTAGGTGGGGTCTGAGGTATCATCCTCCAGAAAGCGTGAGAGGCCGAAGTCGGACACCTTGCAGACCAGGTTGCTGTTGACGAGGATGTTGCGGGCGGCCAGGTCGCGGTGGACGTAGTTCATGTCCGCCAGGTACTTCATGCCGGCCGCGATGCCCCGCAGCATGCCCACCAGCTGGATGACTGTGAACTGCCCGTCGTTTTGCTTCAGGAGAAGTGGAGAAAACGCAAAGTCAATGGAAGGGTCTGAATCAGACTCTGGATCGTGTTCACAATGGGAAGGCAGGGCCCCACCCCCCGGCCTAGGCTCCGTTTCAGGTGCTCGGGGACCGTAGGCCCAGGAGAGGCCACTTTCAGGGTGGTGGAGAGAACAGACTGTGCAGCAGACACGGTTGGTTTGAACCTGGCTCTACCCCTTGCTGTCTGTGCAACCTCGGACATATGACCTAACCTCTCCGAGTCCCAGTTTCCTCATGAGTGACAGCCACCTTCCAGTGCTGTCTGAGTTAAACAGGAGGGTATATGGAAGGGGCCTGGCACATACGAGGTGCTTGAAAAATATCTGCTAAACGGCAGCTAGGCCAATGGCATACTTCCAACTCCTCGTCAGGGCTGTCTGTCTGTCTGGTTGACTGCACCCTCCTAGGGGGCCTGGAGTTTCCCTCTGTGCTCTGAACTCCTCCCCTGGCCTGTAGTGCTCTGGAGGAATCCAAAATTCAGTGAAACTTCTGGACTAGGGGTCTAAAGACCTGGTTCCAGTCCTGGCTTTCACCTTGACCCTCTGGATGACCCTGGGCAAACTCTACCTCTTGAGCCTCAGTTTTCCCTTGTGCATAATGAGAAGGCTGTCTAAGAGCATGGATGGCAACCTATTTCAGGTTGTTTGCTAACTCTGATCAACTGGTTATGATTTCCTGGATTGAGTCTGAGATTTGCTTTTGAGGGTGGTTGGAGAGATTTCTGGGATTGATTAGTGATGTCGGCCGTGGGTAAGGGAATGGAAAGTGGCAAATGTACAGGACAGTCCTGATCTAGATCTTTTCCAAAACCCTTTGAGGCTCTGACGGTATGAAGCTATGTCCACCACTCCTTTTCCTGCCCCGCCCATGGTCCCCTACCCGGAGGAAGGAGTCCAGGGAGCCATTCTCCATGAACTCAGTGATGATCATCACGGGCGTGCTCTTGGTGACAACACCCTCCAGGTGAATGACGTTGGGGTGGTCGAACTGGCCCATGATGGAGGCCTCGCTCAGGAAGTCCCGGCGCTGCTTCTCAGTATAGCCCGACTTGAGCGTCTTGATGGCTACAAAGATCTCTCTCTTGCCTGGCAGTTTCAGGTGGCCACTGCACACCTCACCAAACTCCCCTGGACAGACACACCAAGAGGGGCAAGATGTCATATGCCAGGGGAAGCGTCACCTCCCTGCTCCCTATAAACCGCCCCCCCCCACTCCTGGGGCCTCCTCAATGTTCTACTCATCCTCTTGGACACAGAATCCCTTTGTAGAATATGGGGGCCCACCTTTGAGAGTAAGAGTAAACTCTTCATGGCTGTCCCATGGTGTTTGGATGGCATGGTGTGAGGATGTAGGGGAACCTGGGGAGATGGAGGGTGGGACATGGGATGAGTGGTGGGAAGGACAAAGCACTGGGCTGAGTCCAGAGAACTGGGTTCCAGACTTAGCTCAATCTCTGAGGTGATGTACAAATTCCTTCCCGGCCCCGTGCCTCAGTGTCCTTATCTGTTGATGAGGTAGTTTTACTGGATGACCTTTGAGGGACTTTTCCATTGGGCACTCTGAGCCTTCAGGCTTGGAAGGTTCTCTGAGGGATCTGCCCCACATCCTACCCTCTGTCTCAGGAGTACACGTTGGGGTGGTTACACATGGTTGAAGTCACGGTACCTGGGAGGGCACCAGCCACCTACCTGCTCCGATCACCTGCTCAATTTTGACACAGGAGATGTCGATTTCCTTGGCAAACTCCCGCACTGCCTCATTGGGGTCCTCGTAGGTGAACGGGTCGATGTAGATCTTCATGCCTGGGGTCACTGAGGGATAAGACTAGGCTTGGTCAAATGCACAGATTCAGGATGTGGACAAATGGAAAGGGGAGAGCCAGTCCAGCCATGGATGGACATATACTCCCATGTGGTCCCCCCTAAGAACTTGGCCACCCCCTGCAGGTCACTTGACCTCTCTGGGCCTCGGAGAGCAGATGGGCACTGAGCAGAGGGTGAGGGGAGCAGATTGCTCAGCAGGGATAGAAAATAGGTTCTAGCTCTTGTTCCAACTCTAATTGACTTCCTGGAGCTGCTGCAAGACTGTCAGGATTGATTAGCAATGTCTGTTACGCGTGTGGGCATAAAAGGAAGAAAGGATAGAAAGGATTGTCACTCCTGTGATAGAGAATCAGGAGGAAGGCAGTCAAGAAGGAAAGGGGAGAATTGTAACAAAAATACAGAAAGAGCAGGCCATAGACCAGGGGTGGGCAAACTTTTGGACTCGAGGGCCACAATGGGTTCTTAAACTGGACCGGAGGGCCGGAACAAAAGCATGGATGGAGTGTTTGTGTGAACTAATATAAATTCAAAGTAAACATCATTACATAAAAGGGCATGGTCTTTTTTTATTTTAGTTTTATTCATTTCAAATGGGCCGGATTCGGCCCGCGGGCCGTAGTTTGCCCACGGCTGCCATAGACTGTGTTCTTGGGCTTCTGCTAAGGAGGTCTCCCTATTTTTCAAAGGCCAATTCAAGCCTCCTCTCCCCTCAGGAGACCCTGGCTGCCTCAGCCCTCCCAGGCAGTGCCAGAGCCTGGAGGCTGCCTCACCATGGCTCCTGGGACCACCTTCGGGGTCCCCCACTGGCCAAGTCTAAAAACTTTCTGGATCTCAGATTCCCTGTTGATCAGCATGAGGCAGGATATGGACAAAATTCCTGATCTGATGTGAATTTTTATTTTTTTATGCAGAGGAAGGAAGGAGGTGACTTAGATGTCAAAGACCTAATTCTGACCCCAGCACTGAGTCCACAAAAGCTTTGAAAAAAAAGGAAAGATGATCCATCCCACATTGCCCCTCCCAGATAACTGGTCTTCCGCTTCTCTGACCATCTGGCCCTCTCTCAGCCCAGGCTTCCCTCTAGCTTCCCCAGCTCCCTGCCCACATCCTCCCACTGCTCCCGGAGCTGTGACTTTCTGGTAGCAGCTGTAGGAGTTGGGAGCTGGAGTCCCTGGGTCATGAGTAAGACTTGGTTGGTTGATGAGTGGGTCATCAACCCTGCGCAGCTAGTGTGACCTTGGACATGTTAGTTGACCACTCCCAGCCTCTGTTTCAGACATTCCAGGAATCCAGTAGGTGAGACCTCTAAATAGGGATTGGAAAATTGGCCCACTATCTGTTTTGTAATAAGGTTTTATAAATAAAGTTTTATTGGAACACAGCCACACACATTCCTTTTGCCTGTGGTTGCTTTCACGCCACAGTGGCTGAGTTGAGTAGCTAAAATAGAGACTATATGGCTCGAAAGCCTAAAGTATTTACTATCTGGCCCTTTACAGAAAAGTTTGATAACCGCTGCACTAACACATGAGCTTTGCCCTGAGTGGCCAGATTATTATGACCGGCCAGATTATTATGACCACCCCATCAACACTTCGTTGGGCCACCTTTTGCCTTCAATACTGTGGCGATTCTTCTTGGCATTGACTTCACGAGATGTGGAAAGGTGATGCGAGGAATCTGACACCATGCCTGATGAATAGCACTGTCCAGTTCTGTGAGATTTGATGGTTGTGGAACCAGCTGCCTGATGGCTCTTTTAACTTCATCCCACAAATGCTCAATTGGATTGAGATCTGGTGATTGTGGGGCTACCTAAGCAAGGTAAAGTCTCCCTCATGTTCTTTTTTTTTAAATATATTTTATTGATTTTTTACAGAGAGGAAGGGAGAGAGATAGAGAGTTAGAAACATCGATGAGAGAGAAACATTGACCACCTGTCTCCTGCACTCCTCCTGCTGGGGATGTGCCCACAACCCAGGTACATGCCCTTGACCGGAATCGAACCTGGGACCTTTCAGTCCGCAGGCCGACGCTCTACCCACTGAGCCAAACCGGTTTGGCTCCCTCATGTTCTTGAAACCACTCCTGCACAATACGAGTACTGTGGCATGGCGCATTGTCTTACTGGAAGAAGCCACTCCATTGGGATACGCCATCAACATGATAGGATGAACTTGATCAGCAACGATACTTAGGTATGTTGTGCTATTCAGACGTTTATAATGATCTGGCCCTCTAGCAACTTCAGTGGGAAATTATAGCTAATTTGCCTACAAACGTCAGGTGGTCATAATAATCTGGCCACTCAGTGTATTTTGGATTATTTGTCCAGCCCTTTAGGTCAGGGTTTCTTAATCTGAGTCTGTGAACCACTTGGCAGTTCCAGGGTGGCTTTTGGGGTGGGACAGGGGGTGGAGTCTAGTAACCTCTTAAAATGCATTTATTATTATTGCCTTTTTGAATCAGAAAAGTAATGCATGTTCCTTACAGTCTGAAAACTCTGGAAGTAAATATTGTTGAAAGTAAAAGTTCTCCAAAATCCATCCCTGAGTGTAGACGTTTCTGGGTTTTCCTATCTCGTAATTTTATATACACACATATGGGAACTTCTGTTTCTCTGGCCATAGGATCCAAAACTTTCAGCCTAAGACCCTCCCCACCAAAGAGGTTAAGAACCACCATGCTAGCCTGTGGGAGCCTGGGAGGAGGGCGTGGGCGTGTGCTCTTTTCTCGCCGCCCTTCCCTGGCTCACTGCATACAGCTCTGCACACAATAGACACTCAGTGTCAGAGCTGAGCAGAATCCAGATGATGGAGATAGAAGACTAGCAGTTGCTATTTACTGAGGCCTTTGTCTGTGCCTGACACTGTGCCAGGGTCTTGATATGCATTCTCTCTCTCCTCTGCCCGACAACTTGAGGAAGGGATCATTATTCTCATTGCACACATGTGGGAACCGCAGCTCAGAGAGGCAAGTCATCTGCCCAAGGCCACACAGCTAGCCAATGGCACCGCCAGGATTTGAACCCAGGTCTGTCAGGCTTGAGCCAAGGACCAGTCCTCTTAATTACCATGCTCACTGCCTCCTGGATGAAGTCCAACCAGATCTGGTCCCTGCATCCTCCTCCTGGAGTATTCAGCCAGGACTCCTTCCCCAAGAGCAGGGACACAAGCTCCCTGGAGATGCTCCCTTTGTTGTTCGGACTCTGATTGGCCTGTGGGTCTTAGGGGCTGGCTTTTAGCCTCCCTCCTAATAGAACTGGGGAAGCCCTTTCTGCTGGGTCAGCTGGGAGGGAGGACAGGAATGGGTCAGTTCAGGGTGCTAAGGAGAAGCACAGAAGGAGCTCAAAGCCTACTTGGGTGCTGCTAACCGATCAGGTGCCATCCCCAAGTCTCGGCCAGAGTGATGATCAGGAGGACAGAGGCAAGTGCCTTCACCTGGCATTCCATGCCCTCATGATGGGCCCCATGGATAGTCCTCTGGTCCTCAACATGCCAGCAAAAAGGAATGATTTACCCAGAGGTCCCAGAAACACCTCACAAGTTCTTGTCTCTGTGCTTCTATTCATGTGGTTCCTCCACCTGGATCACCCTTCTCTTCCTCTTTTGTCCAGATCAAAATGCCACCTCCTCTGTGAAGCCTGCCTGGATCCTTCCCATGGAGACCCATGCTTTCTCCTCCGGCTCCCGCAGCCCTGTCTCCACACCCACGCCTCTGGCCCTGATGTCTATATGGCTTTTTTACCTTGTATCAGGGCTCCCAGACATGCATGCTCAAAGCCACGCCCCCTCCTTTCTGGAACACTCTGCCGCCTGGGAGGGCTTGCGTTACCCCTGCTCCTCCAGGGCGCAGAGGCTGTGTCTGTTGTTCATGCTACACCCAGGACCTGGCAAGGAGGGTGCTAACTAAATGCTATTGATGGAAGAACTGCATCACTCATTGATGTGCCCTCTTTTTCCCTCTCCACCTCTTTGGGGTCATGAATGCCTTTGAGAATTTGGCAAAAGCTATGAATCTCCTCCTTGGAAAAACATCCACATGTGTGTACACTCCCATGTGCAGAATATCATTTGGAATTATAGGCCCTGAAGCTCTAGGGGTCTGTGAGCCCCAAGTCATGAGCCCCAGAATATTTTCTCTGGAGCACATATGTGAAGGTGGTACGCAGTAGATGCTCAATAAACACGTATTGAATGCAGGACTCGGAGTGAAGCCATCCTGCTTCTGTGACCCTTCGGTTTCACCTCCCCATTAAGAGCACCATTGGCTCACAGTTCAGTGTGGATTCCCAGGCAGGAGACCCTGTTCTAGGCACTTGAAAGGTACTGACCCAGTGAATCCTCCTAACAACCCTACCAGGTCAATGCTATTTATTAGGCCGAGCCTTATGAAATTGTCACTATTTGACTGCTTTGGACCTACAAAAACGGCAATTTCATTTGGTCCAACCTAATGTTGTACCTCCTTTTCCTTGGGTGAAGAAACGATGGCATAAGAAAGGTGAAATGACCTGGCCGAGGGGGCATGGAACAGACAGTAAGTGGCAGGAGTGGGGTTTGAATCCAGGTAGTCTGGCTGAGGCTATACTGCCAGCGTTTTCTGCTGCTTCCCGGCTTGTCTCCTGGAATCGAAGGGGAGCTCCTCATGGCCACAGCCTTGCACAGGACCTGGCTCCCAGGAGGGGCATTTGCTGAACTGAGGTTGCATGAGGACCTCTGCAGGCAGACTCTTCAGAAAAGACTGGGCTGGTGTTTAGATGAGGCATGACTGTCAGGCCATCACCTCTCATCCTGAACCTACGTGGGGAATTCAGGACGAGCGAGGAGGGACCAGGCGCTCAGAGACCTGGGCTTAAATTCTGGATCTGCCAGAAATGATGGTCACAAAGAAACAGGACCCACCTCACAAGGGGCTTGCAGGGATTAAATGATAATCTTTTTAAAGGGCTTAGTAGAGTGGTTGGCAAATAGAAGGCACTGACTGATGGTTAACTATTATAATGAAGAGTCATAATGAACTGATATAATGGCTATTGCTAAATATTATTATTACAAAGCACTTCAATATCCATTCATTTATTTACTTCTCACAGCTTTGTGAAAGAAGTATCATTCCTGCTACTTCCTACATAAAGATGCCAGCCCGGCCGGCGTAGCTCAGTGAACCAGGAGGCCATGGTTCGATTCCCGGTCAGGGCATATGTCCGGGTTGTGGGCTCGATCCCCAGTGTGGGACATGCAGGAGGCAGCCGATCAATGATTCTCTCTCATCATGGATGTTTCTATCTTGCTCTCCCTCTCCCTTCCTCTCTAAAATAAAAAAAATTAAAAAAAGAAATCAATCAAAAAATAAAGATGCCCAGACTCAGAGAGGTTCGATGACTTCCCCAAGGCAACCTAGCTGGCCGGTGGCGGAGTAAGAATGAGAAATCAGGTCAGTCCCTCCGGCTCCACATCCAGGCACCATAGCCCTTGGTATTCACTCAGCACCTGCCGAATGACGGAACACATGAGCCCGTAAAGGGGACTTCAGCCAGTCACACGCCTCTCAGCTTCCTCCAGGGTCCTGACCACACAGGGCTGCTGGTGGACAAGGGGCCCCAGGGCTGGCAGTGCTTCGGAACTAACAGTCCTGCTCGGACACAGGGAGTGAGCCTGAGCTTCCGATCGCGTTGATCTATGAATCAATCCCGGGGGTCTGTTTTTAAAATAGCTCCCTGCGGTCACCTGTCTCCTTGTTACTCACTCATCCTCTAAATAGTGATGCTCCGAAATGGCTCCAGGTGACAGCGTGTGTGAGCTCAGCCGGGTGGAGACAGCACAGTGTGGCTAAGAGCCCGCACGCTGCAGCCAGACACCCTCGGTTCGCACCCCAGCCCCTGCCCGAGCAGCTGTTGACTCGAACTCACAGTGGGAAATTCTAAGGATTAAATGGATGCGTACACGAACAGCACAAAAACAATTCTTGGCACATAGAACGCAGTCAGTATGTTTAGCTACCTCTACGATCATGATTTTATAACTCGGGGACTCGGAGGGCGTGATGTAATTTGTGACTTTTACTTTGATGTACAGGTGATTTTTATTTCCGTGCAGTTAAATTTGTCTGCCCTTTTCTTTGCTTTTACACTTTCGAAAGCCCTTTTCTATTCACAGCACAGTTAAATGGTTACCTAAATTGTCTTCTGGAAATTTGAATGGCTTAACCATTTTTACATTTATGTCCACAGTGATGGTTAAGCCCAGGAACTTTTACTTCAAACTGAGTATTACCCAGAGGCTTAATCTGGAATTCCCAACTCTGCCCTTCTTGCCGACCCCACATCCAGTCCTGCAACAAATTCAGTGGTTCTACCTTCCAAATATGTCAGAATCCAACCACTTCCCACCATCTCCATCACTGCCCCCTGGTCTGGCCATCATCATACCATCCCTGGATTATCCTAACGGCCCCCTCACGGGTCTCCCTCCTTCTGTCCTTGCCTGGCCACACCTCACCCTTCCGGGCATTTTCTACATGGCAGCCAGGGAAGTCCTGTCAGAACTGTAACTCAGAGCCCGTCAGTCCTTTGCTCAGATCCTTCTAGGAGCTCCCCATTTCACTCAGAATAAAAACCAAGAGCCTGCGATGATTGACAAGAATCTGCATGTTGAGGCTCCTCATACTCCCCCCCCTACTCTGCTCCAGTCCCACTGGCGGCCCCTTGGCTGTTCCCGAAACCTTCCAGACATAGCGCAGGCTCAGGGCTTGGCACTGGCTGCTCCGTCGCCTGGGATGCTCTTCCCTGAGGTATCGCTGACAGCTCACTCCCCCAGCCCCTTAGTATCTTTGTTCAGATGAAACCCTCTCAGCAAGGCCAACCCCAACTCCCCTAGTTACAAAACAACCCTGAAGCACCACTGTCAATCCATGACTCTGCTTCTTTCTTGCCTTTTTCTCACAGCATTTTCATCTTTTAACATATCATATGCTTTACTCATTTATGACATGTATATATATATTTTTTATTCTCTGTCCCTGACGCTAGAATATAAGTTCACGGGGGCAGGGATACTTGGTTTGTTGACTTGTACATCCCAGCACCTGTAACAGGGCCTGGCATACATAGGAGGCTACAGCAAATAAATGACAAGTGAGTGGACATGCTGATGGCCCCCCTTTATCCAGTGGCCATCTGAGGAGCCCTAGGATACCCCACTGAGTACAGTTTGAGAACCTGTTAGACCCACTGGGAATTCCTGTTCCCTGAGTGAGGTCTCCGACACACCTTCTCCCCACCTCCATGCTCCCCCCACACAGAGTCAGTTCTGCCAGGGCCCCAGGGAGAGGAAGCTATATCTGCTTTTCTCTCCGCTGGACCCCTTGGGAGGGGACAGCGCACTGGGTGTGTGTGGCACATGTGCTCCCAGCCTGGCCTAAGGTGGGAGGGGACAGTGGGGGGAATGGAGGCACTGGGTGGGAGTGAATGGTCACCGGAGGAGTCACCTGGAAGGAGTGACACGAGGCCTCCCTCCTCCCTTCTCTCTCGTCTCCCAGGCCGGAGCCTAGGGTCCTCATCACCTCACTCAGCTCATGTGTTTATTCTATAAATACGTGTGTAGTGACTACTATGTGTGGGAAGCGTGCTGGGGCCGGGGAGGCAGTGGTGAGGGTCAGACACGGTTCCAGGTCTCCATGCGCGCCCGTGATAATGTTGGAGAGAGAAGGGAGCGGCCATCCCCGTGCAGCCAGGTAAGGGGTGCTGTGCAAACACGGACAACAGCCCTAAACCCGGCTGGGGTGGGGTCAGGGAAGGCTTCTCAGAGGGGTCTGTATGAGGCCTGAGGGAGAGTAAGAGATACTTAGGGAAAGAGGACAGGAGAGTGACCAGGCAGAGGGAACAGCATGTGCAGAGGCCGAGGTGACAGTGAGCACGGCCCGTTCAGGGGACAGCTTGTCATTCAGTCTGACTGCGGCAGAAAGAAGGCTGGGGAAGTTGTCGGGGAACTGACAGTGCAGGGCCCAAGGGTGCCAGCCCCGCTGGGGCATACATACTGTGGCCACTGGTGTAGTGCTGCAGCTTGTCCGTGTATTCCGAGTCAGCACGCTCAAACCCCCGTCTTCTGGAACAAGAGCAAAGGGCTGGAGCCACCTGGAGGTGCCCGGGGAGTTGGGAGCCACAGCAGGTGATAGGGAGAGGGTGGGCAGGCCTTTGGAAGCACATCCCTGTCAGAGGCCTCCCTGCCTGCCCCTCGCCTAGCAGCCTCACCTGTCGGGGCCCCACTCATCCCTTCCCGCTCTCCCACTTCAAGTCCAGGCTTGCTGTTTCCCCCACCCCCTTTCAAAGAGCAAAGTCATCGCCTCTGGTCATGGCCCCTGGCCCCTGGCCCCAGAAACCCTGGGGGCTTCTGTCCATCTGACCTTATGACCCCGTGTCCTCTAAAGTGGGGAACTCTTGCCCAGCCGGCGTGGCTCAGTGGTTGAGCTTCAACCTATGAACCAGGAGGACACGGTTTGATTCCTGGTCAGGGCATGTGCCCAGCTTGTGGGCTTGATCCCAATGTGGGGCGTGCAGAAGGCAGCCAATCAATGATCCTCTCTCATCACTGATATTTCTGTCTCTTTCTCCCTTTCCCTTGCTCTCTGGAATCATTAAAAATATATAAAAAAATAAAGTGGGGAACTCTTTAAGGAAGAAGAGTTTCTCTTCGCCTTTCCCCAGAAGTCAGGGAACCACGCCCCCTTCCTGCACATGCCATCCCAGCCAGGGGGGTGCTCTTCCCCCACCTCCTCCTGCCCTTGTCCTCTCCCTCTTCCCAGCCACCTCAGCCAGGAGGCCTTCCCTGAGCTCCACAACCTCCCATCTGACACTGCTTACGGCCCTGATCATGAAGGGGCCTCAACTAGTGCAAAGGCAGGGCGATCTGTATTCCCCCCACCACCCCCTTAGCTCCCAGCACCCTGCGGTCCTCCTGCCCCCTGCTCTGAGACGCTCCTCCTGCTGAAGTATTGGTGTCTCAGTGTGCCACCCTGAACCGTGGGCTTGTCAAGGGCAATGGGATGGGCTGCTGACGGTGGCTGTTTAGGAGGAGGTGGGAGAGGCCACTTGTGGGTACCCAGGCCGACCCGAGCCTCTCTCGGGCCCTGGTACTGATGGAAATGCCTCCTCCGTTCACAAACACTGTTCAGGAATGGCGGAATGGATGCACGCCGGGCCTGGAGGGGCCGGGGGACACCCACCCACCTGTTACACACGATGGCGATGACAACCACGGCGATGAGGAAGACCAGGGCAGCCGCCGAGGAGCCGACGATGAGTGGCAGCTTCTCCTGGATGCTGGTCTGGTACTCGGCTGGGGAGAAAGCGCACGCAGTGTTCTCAGCCTGGTGCCGGGAGCCCCAACAGCCCAGCGCCCTGCGGGGTCTCCCGGGATCCTAGGCTCTGTTCCTGCTCCGCACAGAGTCTCTGTCACATGCTCAGGTGGAGAACTGGCTGTCACTGGCTCACAAGTTACCTTGGACACGTCCATGAACTGCTCTCACTCTCAATTTCTCAACAATAACATGGACATAATATCCGCATCTCAATGTGGCTACGAGAATCAACAACAATAAGCTGCCACATAAGGAGAGACAGTGGTAAGCACAGACTCTGAGGCCAGACTCCCCGGGTTTGAGTCCCAGTGGTGCCACTTACTATCTGTGTGAACTCTCACAGAGCGACTTACCTCTCTGTGGCTCAGTTTCCTCCTCTGTAAAGTGTGGAGAATCATACTTCCCACTTCATAGGACTGCTGTGGGAAGCATGTACTAAACACTCAGTAAATATCAACTGTTAATGTTACTGAGTGTTTTAAGGGTTGGTCACTGTGCTAAGAACGCTATGTATCTTGTTTGATTCTCGGAACAGCCCAGTGATGCACTGGCTATGTTAATCCATTTTACAGATGAGCAAACTGAGGCTTAGTGAGGTCGTGACTTGTTGGAGGTCACACAGTTAGGAAGTGGCCAAAGCCAACACTTGAACCCAGATCTGTTTGACCTAAGGCTGTGGGCTTAACCGAGACAATGCGTAAAATGCACTCAGCATTGGCCTCACTCTTGCAAACCACTCAGTACATTCTCAATGTCACCAACATCATCATCGTTTTAAATTCTATTATTATTCCCATTTGCTTTCATGACCAGATGGGCTTGTCAAAGTCAGGGACAAGGTCAGTCCTGGGACTTAGCGCCAGCACACATTTGTGGAATAATAAAGAACGGATCTGGGACAGTCCTCCAGTACCCATGTCAGTGACGCTCACCCAGCATTCACGATGGCTGAGAAAGGTGAAAACGCTGGCTGTGAGGAAGGGGGATTGGGGAGAGGAACTAATGCTGGAAGACATGGGGGCACTGTGAGGAAAATGCTGGAGCCTCGTCACCAATAAGGCTGGCCCGGAGCTTGGCTGGTTGGTTCAAGGGCCCCCAGGCTCACAGAAACAACAACTATAACCTCACGTCCTATTTGGTGAGCGCTAACTCTGTGAGACCTGGCACCAGCCCTGTGCTAGGGCCTGTACATCTGTCCCCATCCTTATACTATGATGCTAACGAGATAGTTGTTATCATCCCCCTTTACAGAAGAGAAAAACTGAGGCTCAGAGGGGTAAGGTACGTTGCTTCGGGCCATACATTGAGGACTGAATCTCCACTGTAATTTCCATCTGTCAGGAACCAGAGTCCACCCTCTTTAACTCTGCTGCCCTTCAAAGATCATTAGAGCAGGAAGGGGACATAGAGACCACGTGGTCCCAGACTGGGAGCCACAAAACACACGGGCTGCAACCTCCCTTTCTCTGGCCCAGGGTAGATGTTACTAATCCATCCCAGCGCGTCTCCCTGCTGAACTAGTGCAGGGACGAAATAGTTCTGTGTTTTCAGGTTGAATATGATTGCTTTCATTTTATAGATGAGGAAAATCTGGACCACAGAATGGGTGTGATTTGCTCAGGGTGACTGCACGTCGGTGCTGAGCTCCCAGGAGTCGTGGGAAAGGAAGTGGCCCGGCTGACGTGATGGTAACGGACATCACAGCCTTTCCAGGCCACAGGACAGTGCCTTTATATAGGGCTGTGCAGTATGTACAGTGCACAGAGGCTCCCAGCCAGGAGGGAAGGGGGGCTGATTGACATCAAGGAGCAGGGGGCTGCCGTTTCTAATGGGCACACAGGCACTGTGCGGGAAGGTGGCTCTTGGGTTTGTTCTGTTTGTGGAGTCAGTACCCCCCTCCCGACCTCTGGCACCTCTTACCTTCTGTCATGGTCTGGAAGTACATCTTGCCACTGTAGCGCCCATAGCCCGCCACGGTGCGTGCCCGCACCTGGAAGACATAGATGGCGCCGGCTTTGAGGCCCTGCACAGTGACTGTGTTGGTGGGGCTCTTTATGGCCGTGGCGTTGTACTCACTGAGCTCCTGCCGAGGAACAGAGAAGACAGTTAGCGAGGTTGTTGCCCATAGTGGGCCCACAGCCCACTGACCACTCCTGCCACTTGCGGGGCGGGGGGAGGGGGGACGAGCACAGAGGGGAGGGTTCTGGCCACCAGATAAACATCCGGGGTTCTCAATTCTTCACTCCCTCCCAGTAACAGAATCACACACCTGCAGCTTTTGCAAGTGATTTTGCAACCCAAGAGAAGGCAGAGCGTATTTCTCCTCCTCACGGATGCTGAGTTTGTCTACATGACCTGCTTTGGCCACTGGAATATTCTAGAGGACATGATGCAAGCAGGGGCTTTACATATGCTTGTTGACTTGTCTTGGCCTCTTGTGATTCTGCAATCTGCCATGAGCGGGGCTTAGTCTGGGTAACAACTAGTTCCAGAAAGAGAGAAAGGGGGAAAAGATCTTGACCTAAATTCTAGAGTGAAACGGAGCCACCTCAGCTGACCGACAGATACAAACCTATGAGTAAGAAAAATAGCTACTTGTTGTAGGTCACTGGATTTGGGGTTGTTTGTTCTGCAGCACCATCTCAACAACAGCTGACTAATACACATATACTGAGTGGTCACTGTGTGCAGACCCTGGGGTCTAGACTGTGAATTATTGTGGACAGCAGGGAGAAGGCCCACATTGCTCACTCCTGCATCCCTCTCTCTGCCTCATGCCTTGATGGATTAAGTGGAAGGACCCCTGTTCAGCCTTAGCACACTTCAGTCGGACAAGAATTAAGACCCAGGAAGGGAAAATTATGCTCAAGGTCACGTGCATCAGTTGATGGCTGCTTTGGGACTCAAAACCATGCCAGAGCCACCTCTAATGTTCATGTCTTTGGGTACCTTTGAGAGATGCAGAATGCCAATTCTCACCTCCTAAGTACTGCCCAGGGTGACCTGAGGAGCCTGGACAGAACAAAGAGCCAGCTGCTGCAATAGGGGCGGAGATGTGTTTGAATTGGATGCAAATGTTTACCTGCCTAGTTGATGCTCATTCAGGCACCTGTCAGCTGCCCAGATAACCTTCTCCAAATACCCTCTTTGCATTAGGCACCGGTCTGGGCACTGGGCACCAGTGAAAGCACCGGCCCTGGTCTTGGAAAGCCCAGTTCAGAAAAGCAAACAGGGTGGAGAACTTAACTCTTTGAGGATCTGGAACCCTTTTGAGAAGCTGATGAAAAGCTATGACCCCTTACGCAGGAAAACACGCATGCCAATCATGCACATGTCAGGGAGGCACAGAGCCCCTGAACACTCTCCTGAAACAATTAAATGAGTGCGAACAATGTTATTACAGATAATAACTGTAACTACAATGTTACTATTTTTAAAAATTCAAATGTAACTCTGATGTCCGATATTTTATTTGGCAGCCCTCTCTCCCTGAGCCTTTGCAAGTCCTGCTGCCCCATCTGAAATACCCTTTCCTCATCTGCCTGCAGTTCCCTTCTCCTTATTCAAGACCCAGCACCAGGACTGCCTCTGCTGGGGAGACTTCCCAGATACCCCAGCCAGATGGCGCAGGTCCATTGTCTCCCATCTATTGTTCTGATATACATGTCTTTCTTTTTAAAATATTTAAAAAATATATTTTTATTGATACACGTGTCTTCTCTAAGGAGAGTGTGGTGCTCTGAGGGCAGGGATCTTATCTCATTCATCTCTGGGAACCCCCAGGCTCCACACATGGTAGGTGCTCACTAACCACTGACACGAATGAATATTATAGACTATTCACAATCTATGAACCCAGGATGCACTACCAGGCCTGGCCACTAGGTGCCGCCGTCTAACATGGGATCTGCTCGGGCTAGCCCAAGCCAAGGGATCGGTTGTGCAGCCTGGGTGGGTGCCCACGCAGGCTGGAAGTTTTATGTTCCTGGTGATATGAGGGAGATGGGAGGTAACCGTGGTCTCGGTGCCTCGGGAGAATGGAGAACAACCTGAGTGGATCCCTTCTCTAACGTGGGGCACAGGACCCCTCAGGGGATTGGAAGTCATTTCCAATGCGAGTTCTTCCACTTGCTTGCATTGTGACCTTGGGAAAGACCATTTCCCTGAGCCGTGTTTTCCATTCCAGAAAATGGAACAATAAATTCCAACCGCTCAGGGTTGTTGTGAAGATAAGATCTGATCAGTTAGTCCCTGGCACAAAGTTGCTGATCTAGAGCCATCAAGAGTACCCTTATCTAAATAAGGATTATGTGGGTTCGGGGAATAAATTTAGTATGAAATCCACTAGTCCTTTGTTTGAGTCCTTATCCAGAGACTAAAGGCCAATGAGGCAGCGGGTATATTGCTTAAGTTCTATGAGCCTCAGTTTCCTCATTTTTAAAATGGGATAATACCACTATATGCCACAACAGTGGTTGTTGATATTCAATAGGAAATAATGGGTACAGATTTTCGGAGAGTCTCTAATACACATAAGGACTTAAGTGTCATCTATCACCATTGTTGTTATCATCACCAATGTTCATTAGGTGGATGAATGAATGCGCAAGTGAATGAATGAGCAAACCTCCCCCTTAGATACTGCTCCACATACACTAGGCAACACCTGGAATACAATTTGGACTTTCATTCACTCCCCTACTCCCTCAACCTTTGCTCCCTCGGCCTGGAATGTCCTTTCCCTTCACTTCTGCCAAGTAGAAATTTCTGTTGAATAGATACAGAAATCGATGTGGCCTATAAGGCCCATCCGCCATAGCCGGCCTCACAAATGACTCTTCTCCTTGAGCTCTCGAGGAGCCAAAGGGAGCATGAACCCATGTGCTTTGGGGCAGCTGCCAATGGAGGCCACCTCCCCTGGGCTGCTGGAACCGATGGACAAGGCCAGCCCTCGTCTGACTGACACTATTCGTCAGCGGCCTCTAGAAGACTTCCAGCAACGTGGTTGTCAGCTCTGGGCTCCGGGCTCCGGGCAGAATGGGAAATCCCAGTGAAGTTGGGGAGAGGCCAAATGAAGAGCCTGCTCCAACGGAGCCCTTTCTAAAGAAGGAAAGGAAAAGTAGGAAAGGAGATAGGGGTGGGGCCCACGGGGGGCCGCAGGGCTCAGTACCTAACTTCCCTACCTGGGAAGATCTAGAGCATTCATTAAAGAAATCAATTGCAGACACCAGGAGGATCCTGAGGTATTAGGTAAGAGCGGGCTGTGGACCTGTCAGAAATAAATCTCACTACTTGCAGCCTGGCTATCCCTCCCCGTGGAGAGGAAGAAAGTGTCTCCGACACTTTCACCAACTGCATGTTCTTTCCGTCCTTAAATCTTGCCATTTTCCTCAACCTGTCCTTCCACTGTTCTTCCTCTGCACCCTCCTGTCTGTTCTGGGCTACACCTCCCCACTCCCGGCAAGCTCCACACCTGCATCTGCAAATCCCAAATCCACATCTGCCCCAGGAAAAGGCACCACCATCTACTGGGAGTTGACTGTCACCCTTCCCTAGTCCCCTGAGTTTCAAAATATTGTCTGAATCTGGCAGTTTCTCACCATCTCTGCTGCCAACCCACCAACTCCATGCCACCGTCATTTCTCACTTGCTGTCCCATGAGATCCCTGTACAGAGTCTACCTGTATTCTCCACATAGCAAGCTACAGGAACCTTTTAAAGTAATGAGCCAGATCATACCACTCCAAAACCTCCTGATGGCTTCCCATTGTACTTTAAATTGAATCCAGGCTCCAAAAGCCTGGAAGGCCCACCACAGTCTGCCCTGCCTCCCTCTCCAAACACCACCCCTACACACTCTCCTTTGTTCATGTTACTCCTGCCACACTCACCTGCTCTATTCTCAGAGTGCAGCCAGCACCTTCCTGCCCCAGGGCCTTTGCACATACCGTTCTTGCCTCCTGGAATGATCCTGCTCTCGTCACTCGTCTTAGCATCTTTCAAGGTTCAGCTCAAATGTCATTTGAATGAAGACTTCCTCTCACATATACTAGGATTATGGGGTCCTCCTTAGTGACCCCCAGGGACCTTTGCTGGCCCTTCTGTGGTTTGTATCTCATCTTGTCTAATGGCTATTTGTACCTGAATCCGTCTTTTTCTCTGGACTGTAAAGGGAAGGCCCCCAGGCACATCTAGTTATTCTTGGTGTTCCCAGCACCCAGTCCGAAGTTGGTGACAGTGAGTGTTGAATGAACCAGCGTCCCATCTCCCCACTGGCAGAGGCAAAGCTGCCTCCCTCTGTACCCCAGGCCCTGGGAAGAGGGGCTGATGGAAGCAGGGACACGTCTTATCACGGCCACACCTCAGGCTGTTCATCTCCCGCCATTTATGCTGAAAATCCTTCATCAGAGCCTGGTTCTGTCCACCTCTTAAAGGTTATCCCAGAAGCACCCCTGGGAGAAACTGGGAGACAGCAGAGCCAGGTGAAGAGTGAGAGCACAGGTCCACACCCCTGCCCTGCCCCTTAGCAGCCGGGTGCTCTTGGACACGTTACACGATTTCTCCGTGCCTCAGTTTCCCCTCCTGCCCAGCAGGGAGGATAGCAACGCTGCGAGAAGGAATGAGACAACGGATATGCTGTGCTTAGCACACAGTGAGCCCTCATGAAACGTGAGCAGGCGATAGCGGTGGCTGCTGCAAGGCCTGCTGGCCCGGCCACCTCTGGCATGGGCCTGGGGATGCCCAGGCAGCAGCAGAAAGTAGGGCAGGGCTGCCTCCTGGTTCACACCTCCGCTGCCTCCCCAGCCCCTCCTGCGTGGGTAGGAAATGGGTCGTGGGCAGGACCTGTGTCGGGATTCCTCATTTCCGATCCAGTCTTTGGGGACAAACACTTTCCGTTTCATTTAATCATCAAGCTTCTTAATTAGTTTTTTTCCTTTTTGAATTCCGAGTTGCTAAGCTGTCCCCACCAGAGGAAGTGGACATGATTGCTCCTGCAGGGCCCAGGCTTCCTGAGCCTGGCAGCAGCTGGTCCCACTACCTGGGAGGCCCGGCTCCAGCAGGCCCTCCCGGGCCAGCGAGGGGTGGAGCTGCGTCCCTCCCATCGTCCCCTGGGGACACAGCAGAGGAGAGAGAGGCCAGGTCTCCACCCTTGAAGGACAGGCCACGGGAAGGGATTCATCACTTCTGCATCCAGCCACCATTTATCAAGTGTCCTTGGTGCCAGCTAGGCCCAGGCTGCTGGGGAGCACGTGGTGAAAGGGACAGATGTGGTCCCTGGCCTCTAGGAACGCATTGCCAAGAGGAGGGATGGGCAAGGAAACAATCAGAAACCAGCCGGGTGAGGCTGGAGAGGTGTTTGATGAACCCCTGGGACCCGCCAGGGTTGGGGGACCCAGCAGCTGACAGAGTGAGGAGGTTGGGCCTCCGCAGGGCTGGCTGGAACTGTCTCCACCTCATTTCCTCTCAGCCCTTAGGGAAAGCCTTTCCATCATTTCCGTTTCCAGTGGGCTCGGCCTCAACTAAAGCACGTCCCATAGTCATTCACGCCTTAGTCCGAAAGGGAGTCCAGTGGAACATTTTCCAGGGGCCCCCTGCAACCTCTGAGGCTGTCTGTGCCTCCGGGAGCAGGTAAGAAAAGTCACCAGTCACACAGCGTTCCCTAGGGCTCCGATGCTCAGCCGCCTGGGCAGGCCTCACACGCACACGTGCTCAGCTCACCGGCCTTACACCGCGAGGCCTGGCCCACCGTGCAGCAGGCAGGGCAGGGGAGAGAGGCAGGGAAAGCACACTCCACTTTGCTGAGGGCCAGGCGCCTGCTGGGCACTATACCGCACAGCCCCCAGGTGAGGGAGGTGGTCTCATTCGCCCTTGACCCAGGAGGAAACCGAGGCCCAGAGAGAGAACGGTGGCTGCCCACGTTCACACACTGGCTGCTGGTGGAGCTGAGATTTGAACCCACGGCTTCTCACTCCTAGTCCAATGCTCCTTCTACTACACAGTGGCTTCCAACCCCGGGTCCCTGGCTCCTCGAGGTCCCCGAAGGGAGTGACAAGGGTCTGAGTTAAAAGCTCAAAGAGAAAGCAAGCTCCCCCCAGACGAAGGGCACGCAGGCAAATGAAAAGCAGTGTTTTAGCTGGAAGCCGAGCAGCACAGGAGAAAGCTCCACTCTGGGCGGAAGCTCTCGAGCAGTGTCTCGGCTTCGGAGCGCGTGAATGACCAATCCTTGCTTAATAAACGCAGCTTTTGGGAAACCCAGCTCTTCAGAGCTTCAGGACAGCTGAAGTCACAGGGGAAAGGCCTGTGACCACCGCATGTTACTGAGGCTGCCGGCCAGGTCCCCAGACCAGAAAAGTAAGACTCAGAGAGGTCAAGGCACCCCCCTGAGGTCTCACAGCCAGGCAGGAGCGAAGCCACCATTCGAGCCTGAGGCCAGTGCTCTTTCTGCTTCAAGGTGGTGTCTTGCAGGACAGTAGGACCCCAGGCCCAGCCTGAGTGGGGGGGCCATCAGGGAGGTGGGGGTGGGAGCGCGCCAGGAGCCTAGGTACCTTCTCGTAGTACTGCAGCTCATAGTCCAGGATGACGCCGTTGGGCTGGTCAGGCTGGGACCACGACAGGGTGATGCTGTCCACGGTGCGGCTCACCTGGTGCATGATGGACACAGCCGACGGAGCTGGAAGAGAGGTCAGAGGTCAGGGGTTGGGGTGGGCATGAGAGGGTGCAGCGTCTGGCCCAACCTCAGAGGTGCCCAGAAGAGGGGAAGCGTCTCGCCGAGGCCACACCCTGGGGAGCCGGCAGGGAGCAGAGGGACTCATGCAGGGTCACAGGTGCCCCCACTCGGCCAAGGTGACCCAGCCCCGAGGAGGGACACTGCACTCCCTTCACCTCCTTCCCTGTGACTCACCTTCTCGCAATGAGGAAAAGTGGCAGAATGTGTCCCTATAAAATGACAGCACTTTTCAAACTTGAGGGGCATCAGATTTGTGAAAACTCACATTGCTGGGCACCACCGCCCAGATTCTGATGCCACAGGTCTGGGCGCGGCCCGAGAACCCGCAGTTCTAAGCAGCGCAGGTGCTGCTGACCACTGGGAAGGGAGGTAACCTGTCCCAGGTCACCTAGCAGGCAGAGGTGGGGCCAGGGCCAGAGCCCGGACCAGCTGGTCTAGTATCTTTTCTACCCACCACGCTGCTTCTCACAGCCTGGCTTCTGCCCACGACGGCCCCTCTCACTGCCCAGCCTAACCTGTTCCTGGGGCCTTTGGGCCCAGGTAGTCTCGAAGCAGAGGTACAAGTAGTTCCAAGAGGCGCAGGCCGAGGCTGCCGAGCAGCTGGGGGCCAGACCTCCAGGCTTGGGGGCTTGTCCTATCCTGAGGCACTGGGGAGCCACGGAGGACTGCAGTGGGATGGGAACCCGCTCCTCCACTAAAACACAAGCTGCCATCACGCTTGTCATCTTGACAGCCCCTGTGTGCCCAGTGATGACCAGAAAAGAAAAAAGGCCCCCACAGCTAACACCTAACACTTCCTTGTTCACTCCTGGCACTTTTCCAAATGCTTTATGTCAGTTAACTCACTTAACTGCTATATCAACCCCATGAGGCTGTTATTATTAATGAGTATACCCATTTTATGGATGAGAAAATGGGGGCACTGAGGTATGAAGTAACTTGTCCCAAATCACCCAGTTAGCAGGTAGTGGAGCTGATCTTTGAATCCAGGCCCACCTGGGTCCCACAGAGCCTTTCCCCTCCAGTGGCGGTGGCTGATGCAGGCTGACCAGGGAGGTCTGGAAAGCAGTGACCCTCACAACACCCTGGTCCAGATCCCACGCTGTTGCTGCGAAGCGCACTTTACTCGGCTTCTGTTGACTCATCTCACTACCACCCACCCGGCCCGCCCCGGCTCCGGGAGCTCAGCTGTTGGTGGAGGCAGGTCCCACACGGCTGTGGGGGTCTGGGCCTGGCAGGCTTAGCTGGCAGATTTGGGTTACAGGCAGCTAACCCGGCTCTGATCCTGTAAGCCCCGTATCCCTGGGTGTGGCAAGGAGGCGGCATTGCTGGGAAGATGATCAAGGCAGGCCAAGGGGGGCCAAGCAGGGCTGGCCTTTCTGCCGAAATCCGGGGGGATTAACAGCGGAGAACAGGGAACAGCTGGATGTGCTCTCCTCCCTCCTGCCGCCCGCTGCCCACCCTGGGGTGTCAGGTTTCCCTGTAAGCTGGTCTTCAGGGAATTCTGGTATTTTCAATTACCAGCCGGGCACGCTGGCGGGGCGATGGGGTCAGCGATGTCCTGTGACCCCTGCAAGGAGATGGAGCCCCAGGGAGCAAGCACAAAAGAGGCTTGTGACCGAGAGGGGCAGCGGGGAGGCCAGCCAGGCGGGGCCTGCGTGGCTGGAGCAGGTGGTCAGGGGCCCTGCTGCCTCCGGCGAGCCCTGGGGGAGGATCCGTCCCTTCATTAGCTGAGACCTGGGGGAGCCCCTGCAGGGCGTGAAGGGGTTGACTGAGGTGGTCTCCGAGGGCGTTCTGGGACGAGGACCCTTTGATAGGAAGGAAGTCTGGGGGCCGATGACCTGCCTGCTCAGCGTTGCCTCCATAGCCCTGAGCTCTGAGGAATGAAGGAGAGCCCTACACTCGGCCTTTACTCTTCACCAGTCAGAGGACCCCGTGAGCTTAGAGGGCATGGGGAGTCGCTGGGCATCGGGCAGCCCGAGACGCCAGCCCGACTCTCGGATCCCGCTGCCTCTCTGACATCTCCACTCTTGTTGACAGTGGCTTCCACTGCACCTGGATGGAACACAGGTGCGCCACAGGCCCTGCAAGGCCCACCTGCCTGGCGCCTGCCACCTCCTGCCACTCACCGCCTCGCTCCCAGGCGCCAGCCACACCGGCTGCCTTTCTGTTCCCAGTCAGACCAAGGTCATTCCTTTCTCAGGGTCTTGGCCTCACGTTCTTGCCTGGTCGCCTCTTCCCCCACATCTTCCATGGCCGGCTCCTCCTCTTCATTCCGGTCTCAGCTAAACCGCTGCCTCCTCAGAGAGGCCCGCCCTGACTTCCCCTCCACCTGACTGCCCGGTCACTCACCATCTCACACACTCTTTCCTGTACAGAGCTAATGTGATCTGAGGGCAGGGACCTTGTCTCTTTTATTCAATCCTTTATGCCTCGTGCCTGGAACAGTGTGTGGCTCAGAGTAGGTGCTTGGTTGATATTTACTGGAGGAAGGAAGGAAGGAAGGAAAAGCCGGCTTTCGCCTTTTCTAGCCCCTTGAGGAACCTGACTGAGTCCACGGACCCTGGGGCCGGAGCTAGGGCTCCAGGGGAGACAGTGGGGCCTGTCTGACAGTCACTGACAATTCTCTCTCCCTCAGACCCGGTGCCCCCTGCGATTTGACCTGCTGACATGACACGGGGCTTCTTGCTGACCAGCCAGCCTGTGATACCACATCAACTGTTTATTGCTGTGCTTGCGTTCACCAGGGTCCGAAGCAGGAATACCTCACCCGAGACAGGACCCCTAGCATTTCTGGTTGATAATAGGATGGCTGTTTTGAGTGTTTGTCTCTTAAACCTGTAGCAATGCAGTTAACTCCCAAAGATCCAATGAATTCTGGGTGACCTGGTCATAATTCACACAACAGAACAAAACTCTCCCGGAGATTGGGCCTGTGTTTCTTTCCGACGGGACCGGAGCGCTTAGGTTGTGTGGGACAGAACAAAGGAAAAGCTGACAACTGGTGCCAGGGTGGCGCTTTTCTATGAAGAAAAGGTGTTCCACGGCCGAGAAGGTTTGAGATACACAGAGTTCTAGACCCCGGCCTGTGAGACTCACTCGGCACACTCCTTTATTCAAGGCTCTGAGAAGTCCTGCTGGGGAGAAACTTAGTTAACCTGGGTTAGCCTGGCAGTCTAAGTCTCATTTGGCTTCAGAACCGCTTTTTCACATAACAGTTATTAATGTCTTTTGGAAGCAGTGATCTGTGGAATATATATATATATGTATGTACATATCCTATATAATAAAAGGCTAATATGTAAATCGACCGAATGGTGGAACAACCGGTCACTATGACGCGCACTGACCACCGGGGGCAGACGCTCAATGCAGGAGCTGCCCCCTGGTGGTCAGTGCACTCCCACAGGGGGAGCGCCACTCAGCCAGAAGCTAGGCTCACAGCTGGCAAGTGCAGTGGCAGTGGTGGGAGCCTCTCCCGCCTCCGTGGCAGTGCTAAGAATGTCCGACTGCTGGCTGTCAGTTGGACATCCCCTCGAGGGCTCCCAGACTGCGAGAGAGCATAGGTTGGGCTGAGGGACACCTGCCCGCCCCCCTCCCCCTGAGTGCACGGATTTCGTGCACCAGGCCTCTAGTATATACATATATGTACATATATATGTATATACATATATATGTTTTTATTGATTTCAGAGAGGAAGGGAGAGGGAGAGAAGATAGAAACATCAATGATGAGAGAGAATCCTGCACACCCCACACCGGCGATCGAGCCCACATGTGCTCTTGACCAAGAATTGAACCGTGACCTCCTGGTTCGTAGATCAACACTCAACCACTGAGCCACATCGGCTGGGCTGTGGAACATATTTTAGACAAAAAAAACAAAAAACAAAAAGTGGGTCCAGGAGATGCTATATATTTTTCCTTGAACCTGAGAAAAGGGTGGCGATTGTCTGTCCATCTGATCATTCATTCTTCTCTTGGCTCAGCATAGATTTAGCAGCACCTACCGGCTGCCACACAAGCAGATGGAGTAGGAGTTAAACACCTCACTTTACAGATGAGGAAAGTGAGGCAGATCAAGTGCCTCGGCTCAGGGCTGGGATCAGGACCAGGTTGGGACCAGGTTGGTTTGTTCTCCCCCTGACTACCCAGCCTTGTCTACAAGTGGGCTATGAGCAGGCAGAGGCCAGGCCCTGGGCATGGTGCTGTGGGAACATCTAATCCCCCACCTTCCAGTGGGCTGCTGAACTGCCTCGATCCCACCTGTGGCTGCCCGGTGGAACCCAGTCCTACCCAGCACCTGGATTAGCAAAATGGTAAGAGCCTGGGCCTCAGGTCAGGTAGCCCAAACAACCTACTTCACCCCTCCGTGCCTCAGTTTCTCCTCTGTAGAACGGAGACAATGGCAGGGATGTTGGGAGGTTAAATGAAGACCTGAATATAAAGAACCTGGCCCAGAGTAAGGGGTCAGGGGATGTCAGCCGATGGAGCAGTCTGGGCCACTCAGGCTCTCAAACAGCAGTGTGAGTAGCTGAATTTCCAGCAAAGGCTCTTGAATGGTGATGCAGGAGAGAAGAGGCGGCATCCAGGGTTCAGATCCCAGCTCTCTATGGCAGGTGATTGTGTGACCACAGGCAAGTTACTTCTCTCTCCGAGCCCATGTTCCTCAGCTATAAATTGGGATGTGGCCGACACTACTCACTGCCTATCCAATATCCATTCTTTCTTTCTCAAATTAACAAAACCCTGGTTCTTAGGTACCTTGTGCCCAAATAAAAGACTACTTTCCCCCAAAACTCTGGCAGCTAGAAGTGACCACATGACACTATGCTTGCCTGTGATATAAGCGAAAGGTGGGACTTCTAGGAGGTCTCGCTCAAAGGGAGGAGTCCCACCCTTATCACTCTCCTCCTTCCATGCTGCCCGGGACATGGAAGTGA